ATACACATTTAATACATCTCTAAACTATTACTGTAAATACAAGATGTTTATCTTTTGTGTATTTCATAAACTTTAAATTTTGTACTAATTCATAGGTGTTCACTGAAGATATCAACACATTTAGCATAATTAAAAGAAAAAAAACAACAACATCAATACAATTGAATTAAACTGTTTGATTGCTACACAAGACTAAGTCCTTCTGTGCTTTGTAGATCCAACTAATCACCAGCAGGGGCTGATGAAGCTCTGTAGTTGAAACAGGAGAAAGTGCTGTCCTCCTCTTCTAACAGAGATGAGCTCTGACGCCCATCAAGCAAAACAGGGATCAGCTGCAGCACAAATTTTACTAACATTGCTATGGCAACTTGTTTGCTAGTCACGTGTCTAAACTGAGCTGTGAGCAACAAATAAGGATAACGAGGTGGAGTACAAACAAGAACAGTTTAGAGGGTTTTGAGAGTTTTATTTTTATGTCACTTTAAACACCTAACCTGCAACAATAAAGGAAACGCACTTCTCTCCACGCTACGCTGACTTCACATCTTTACTGGTGGAATGTGAGATTCAGCCTGAAGTAGAGTTTTGTGAAAAACAAGCAGAGAAAAACAGGAAATTAAAAAAAGGCTCTTTGTAGACGAGTGTCTCTGCCTTCATACTTCATAGAAAAATGACTAAAGTCAGGAGTTAAAGTGGGTATGGCGAAGAAAAAAATCACTTAGATTTAAGTTGCAGTAATTTCTATTGATTCTATTTCTATAGGGCCAGTGGATTTCTTATATATGCAGGCTGTGATCAGCTGAGCTGCTCTGACATCCAGATTTAATTGACTTCAACAGGATTAGAGCAGATCATGTATCATGCTGTCTTTATACATCAAGGCGACTGAATAATCAGTTAAAATTTACATGTTCCCTGTTACACTGATAGTGAACATCACGCAGCACTTCAACATAGTACGTTACTGTAAACGTCACCACTGAACTGCAAACCAGTTTAACCTGCTCTGAACTACCACATTACTTTTACACGCTCTTTTACAACTCTGCTGATCTACAGATAAGCTTTTCAGGCCTGTCACTGTCACATTGTTTTAGTCACATGTTCAGTTTTCTCAAAATGAGCAGGTTTTTTTTTTTTTTTCCAAGAACACGTCATGCTGAAATATGGCAAGTTATTGGCTAATTGCTCTTTGGAAATCACCTGAGTGGTGCAAAAAAAGTATTTCACTAGTGCCTAGACAAAGTTTTAAATGGTTTCTTTGCCAAGTTGTTTGCTTAGTGTTGCCTTTTTAAGGCTTTAATGAACCATGATCTAAAATAAACGAGTCTGAAGAATTTTAAACATATAAAGAAATGATTGCTCGCTGTTCAAGATATTTTTGCTTCAGTTTGGAGTAGTAGTTCAATTTTTTTATTAGTCTATTAACTAGCAGGATTATGTGTTTTCTACCGTCTTTGATTGTACCCTACAATTTATGCATGTAACTTAGTCATTTAACCTTAGCAAGTTAGTGAGCAAGTAAGAACCTTGGTGTTTTTATCCAAATATATGAGTTGAGGTAAAATAAAACATGACAGCAACCAAAAGCCTAATACTGATGTATCTACATGTTACCTGTAACACCAGTATTTCTTACTTTTGTGGGTTGGATCATAATCGAAGTAGTTATCTTGGCAAGTTTCAATGTGATATTATCTAAACCTAAATAATACTTCACAAAAACTAAAAAATACAAAAACACATTTTCTGGCCAGTTCAAATGTCCACTTCAACAGCAATCCACTCAATTTATTAATAAAAAGCATGGCAACTGTTGACGTTAGCATTTACACTAAAATATGAGCAAAATGAAAAAAGCACCGTCTTTGGTCAGGATAGTGTCGTGGAAGAAATATGTATGATAATGCAAAATCATTACATTTCAGAAAATGGATATTACAAATATTCTTACATTAAGTAATCCACAATGGAAGATTAATAGTTATATTAGAAAGTTCTTTCCTTCTTTTCACCTGTAATGCATCCCCTTACATTTGATTTGTACTGGAACACTTCAAGTCACACCCAGCCACAAACAGTCGCCACTGCTGGCGATAAAATCATAAAAGTTCTGAATAGATGATCAAAACAAGACAGAAGCAATTTTCCGGGTTCCTGCCGATTTTAACGTGCCGTCTCATCCCCACAGGATAAAATGTGTTTACATTCCTTCTTGTTATGCAATAAAGAGGAGAGAGCAGGCCTAAATGTTTCAGTCAGAGGAAAAACTCATGTTTGATACGTTTTCATGTTATTAGTGATGCTGGAAGCAAACATTCTTGGTCAATGCACATAAAAAACTTAAAAAATCATTCCAGTCTCCGACCTTTAAAGAGAATGTGATCATATAAGCTGTACAAAAATACCTTTAATACAACAATATTTTACACTTCCCACATCATAGAAAAAACAAAACATCAACCCTGAAGTAAACAACAAACCTGCGTGCCTATGAGGCAAGCAGAAGAAAGGCACTAACCCATGGCCTACAGAGCAGGTTTTGCCGGCTGCAGTTTTTCCAAACAACAGGCAGCAGAGGTGTGGCACCGTCAGCAGCATTGAAAGGTAGTTGTGACACCTACAGTTCTGCTGTCAGGAGTGGAAAATTCCTGGTTTATCTCTGACTATTCATGCAAAACCCTTACAATGGCTCTAAAGCATTTTTAAGAGTGTTTAAGGGTCAATACAACAAAAAGACAGAAAAACAATCATGTTTATTTACCCTGTTATAGATAGTTGGGTTTTATTTGAGCCACTGGCCTCGTGATAGACTTTCCCCCAGGGTGAGTCTCAGACAGGCTCCACTGTCTTAGATATAAAGTTAAGAGACCAGATGGACGGACGCTCCTGTCCCAAATGTCTTACACACACCGTCGGCTGGTACAGGTGCTTGCCTGAGACAACCAAGTCTGTCAGTGCAGTGTTAACCACTGGCCCAATATGTTCAAAAGGCAAAAATATAGTGAAGATTTCATATTGTTATAAACTCACATTCCAAAGGTGGGCTTAGATTGTTAACCTTTGATGACCTGAGTTTAAACAAAAGCTTCAGTCCTCTGAGTCATGACTTAATTCCCAGTGTAACCTGTAACCATGTCTCCACCACCCATGTCCATCATCACATGTGGGCAGTCATAAGCAGACCTTTCTTCGATTGAAACACACTCCGTCTTTACCGAGTCGTCGCCAGAGTCATCATCCGTCCTGCTTCTGTCAGAAGCGCTGCTGTCCAAATGCGGTCTCTCTGCGTAGCAGGAGTTGCTAGGGTTGTAGTCAGAGCCAGTACTGCTGTTGTCTGCAGGCTGACCGGTGTCCTTGAGAAGAACAGTTTCCTCGGGGTCGTCCTGACTGCTGTCTAAGCTTTCGACAGAGATTCGACTAATGTGTGGTCTGGTTGGGTTGGGTGGATGCTTGCTCTGATTCCCTGCACTGTCCTTCTTCTGCAAGGTACAGGAACAGAAAAAGCATTTGGCACAAGGTTAAAAAAAACAAACAGCTAAAGCAACATCATGTCCTGCTTATTTTAGTTTAGTTTTTTATTTGACACCTTACCAAAGATGAAGGTAGAGTATCTGAGGGGTTAAATGTCCACGCCTTTAGCTTACAGATGCAAGCTGTTACCACAATGAGAACAAATAAAAGCAAGGTTGACAGCACAGCTGCGAGTATCATCTCATTGAAACCTGCTAAAAAAAACAAAACATACAAAAGGTTAATTCAGGCACAAAGTAAAGCTAAAACCAAACTAAACAAAAACAACATCAGTTGGTTCTAATTTACAAATCCAACCCATAAACTCATACAGGGCTGCATTTTAAACATCTTCAGCCTGCAGTTACTATAGATCTACCACCCCAGTGAGATGCTTGCTGTGCGATCACATGCAACAGATGCTCAGGACATGTGCTCACAAATTAGAGACGTGTTCTGCCGGGACATTCTGCACCCCTAACTCTAGTACTCAGCGGATATTTTCAAGCTTCTATGTTGATTTTTGTGGTGTTTACATAAAAAAAGAGTCTCTTCTGAATGCCCTCCCATCAAGTTAATCATGTAGAAAACATGGCCTTATGATGACTGAATGCAGAGCAGAGCATTCAAA